CTGCACAAATCTAAAAATATAAAAGCAGTTAAAACTTTATAAATTTTAAATGGCTATTTCCTAAAAAAAAAAAAAATCCTAAAAAAACCCCAAGTAACCTTTCTTTAAAAAAGTCAAAAAAACAACGACTCACACTTTTACCCAATTGAAAGCACAAGGCAGGCAGATTCAGTTGCTAACCGATGAGTTGGATTGCAGGCTGCAGCCAAGGGATTTCAGCAGCAGCAAGTGAACAGCAAGGTAGACGTTCTGCGACCAGCGGCTCGGAATTCGGTCTGAAGAGGGAAAGTAAGCAAGCTGGAGGCTAGGGGGAAAGTTGGTAGCAAGCTTAGCAACTTAGCCAGGCCAGGCAGGTGAGCCCAGGGACTGGGGGGGGGGGGCAGCATGCTTGGCTGTAGCTGATCCCTGGTGGCCGGCAAACTACATGAGCCCAGGGATGGGGGGGGCACACTAGGCCGCAATTGGCAATGCTTACCCCTTTGAGTGAGCGGCCATTGGCAAGGCTTCTGAACGAGTTGTCTCAGTGAGCATATGTTGCAAAATGAGTAGCTAGGCCACGTGACAAAGAGAACTTATATAGGGAGGGTGGGGTGGGTGGGCTGGAAACACCAAGTGTCCAGAAGGGAAACACAGTGTGGCTGGGAACAAAGTGCCGAGCGGCCGGAAGCAAAGTGCCGAGTGGCCAGAAGCGGCCGCAAGTAGTGAGCCGGAAGCGGTCAAGTAGATGACTGGGTGAAGATGAGGCCACCAGGGATTTTTACCATTCGATCGAGAAACCACTGCCTATTATACCCACCAGTTCGGCCGAACCAGGCCAAACCGGGAGGATTTTGCCCCTGGTCTAGAGGAGAAGCACAGTTCTGAGAGCAGCCACAGTTCAGGGAAGTTGGTTCCAAGAAGTCCTCCTCACATGAAGAGTTCACTGGCACTGCAGCACCACCAGGAATATAACTGTGTCACTGCGACCTTACACCTAGCCAGGCCAGGCCAGCACGTCAAACAAACAAATAAGACAAGCACAGCAAAATAACAAGACGTCGGTAAAAGCACATGACTGGAAAAAGCAATGCTTGTTTCTGACAAAAGCACCTTCTAGCAGTATGTCTTTAAATCTCATTCCCCAGGTAAGCTTTGTAAAGAGGGGCAGTGTACCTTCCTCCCAAATTGTCAGGTTGCCCTGCACTGTTCCTGCCTCCTCTCCATTCTCTGGGGATCAGGGGGATAGGTAATTGCTCTTCTGTTCCGCTGCCTGCTCTGCCCTCCCCCATTGCCAGGTTCTCCTGTACCACCTCTCCCTGGCTGATGACCCTTCCCAGGCCCGAGGAACCTGGGACTGCCTCCTCCTGCTCCTCCAGATGTTCCTCCATCGTCTCTAGTTTTCTCATCCTCCTCCTCGAACTCAGGCTCTAACGGGGTCATGACATATGCAATCCAGCTAAAGTTCAGTTCTTTATCTGAATAAACCCATACTACCCTAAGATAATTGGAAGTACACTGAGAGTTTCTAGGGAGTTTCTATCCTAAATCTGTTCCTCTTCCCACTATCCAGCTCTGGACTGTGCTGCCTTTTGTCCAGCCCCCTCCCTGGAATGTGCTCCTTCCTTCCTGGGAACTTGCTGTTGAATTGTGCTATGATTCATATTTTTAAAACATGACGCGGTGACTCGGTGGCTAAGATGCTGAGCTTGTCAATCCGAAAGCTCAGCAGTTTGGCCATTCGAATCCCTAGTGCCCCGTAACGGAGTGAGCTCCCAGCTTCTGCCAACCTAGCAGTTCGAAAGCATATAAAATGCAAGTAGAAAAATAGGGACCATTTAGGTGGGAAGGTAACAGCATTCCATGCACCTTCAGCATTTAGTCATGCCAGTCACATGACCACGGAGACGTCTTTGGATAGCACTGGCTATCCAAAGACGTCTAGAATTCCCCCTAGAGTTGGGAACAACTAGCACATATGTGCGATGGGAATCTTTACCTTTACCTTTACCTTTAGTCTTTCTTTGAAACTCTTAGTTTTCCTTACACTAATAAAAAGTCTATTAATTTAAACCACTTTTAAGGTAAATTAGTTTGGATAAATCATCCTCTATGGTAACATATACATTTATTGCATTGAAATAAAAATTTAGATTCATGATCGTATGGATTACAAAATAAGTTAATGTTTTAGAAGTGGGGAAATAATTTTAAAATAAAACATGTATGTATATATGTATGTATGTATGTATGCATGCATGCATGCATGCATGCATATATTTAGTGTCACAACCCCTGGTATGCCCTAATTATGGGAGGAAGCTAACTGCTTCCATTCTCTGTCTATCGGCTCGTCA